AAGGGAAGGGAAGGGAAGGGAAGGGAAGGGAAGGGAAGGAGGGAGGGAGTAGAATTATAGTATAGTGTGGCAAATACTACTTTCTCAGCTGTAAAAGATATATACTAGTGGTACTTACTTCAAGTGATCATGTAAGAATTAAGCTGGTTAATGCATTTAAACTGCTTTTGTTTTGTTTTGTTTTGTTTCCGGTACCAGGAATCGAACTCATGACCTTGCAGTTGCCAGGTAGGCGCTTTGCCGCTGAGCTAAATCCCCAACCCCTAACTGCTTTAAGTTGTACCTGGCATACTGTAAAAGCTAAACTGTTTTTTAACTCTGACAGTGATGTAGTGGCAGCGGTGATGACGGGAACAGTGACGACCAGAGCAGTACGATGCTGATAACACGTGACTCCGACTCTACCACGCGTCTGATGAGCTTCCAGTGGCCCCCCGTTTCAGTGTGAAAGCCTGAGTTCTAGTGACCATATACCTTAGAATATTTGCTCCCCAGCCCTGCCAGCTGCCTCGCTGTTGCTGTGATTTGTTTTTAACTGGCTGTTTGTTTCACTGGTCCACCTTGCTAAAGCTCCACCGGCCTTCCCAGCAAACTTTGGACACATCAGTGACGTTCTCACCGGGAATTCAGCCCTGGCTGTCTCCTCTCTTCCCTTCCGCATCCCTAAGCGGACTTTCTCACTCTCACACCTTACCTGGCCCCTATCTGACACTGCAATCCTGCTTTACTTTCCTTTTCACTTAACACCATCTAACATATAACATTTATCTTGTTCGTTATCTGCTTCTTTCAGAGAAAGACTCCATGAGCTTTTGTTCTTTTGTTCATTACCTAAACAGTACCTAGGATAAATGGACGGAGGAAGAAAGGAAGAAAGGAAGGGAGGAAGGAAGGAAAGAAGGTGATAACTATCTGGTGCTCTGAAGTCTATTGGGGCAGCAACTGATGTGGATTTGGGGGAGAGGAGGACTGGGTACCACAAAGGATGGTGTCAGGAATATTTTCTAGTACTTTATGATTTAAAGTTTGGCATCGAGGGGCTAGGGATATAGCTCAGCAGCATAAGCGCCTGCCTGGCAAGAGCAAGGTCCTGGGTTCAATTCCTGGTACCAAAAAAAAAATAATAATAATAAAAAAGTAAAGTTTGGCTTTGACATCACAGGAAGCCACTAGAAACATCACAGCTCGGGCCTCAGCCCGGACCTGCTGAGTCTAGTCCTCGCTGTAACAGCATCGCGTCGACTGCACGTGGAAGAGTGACCATGACAGCCCTGGTCTAGGGAACTTGGAGGGTGGGTAGGAGTTAGCCAGGAAGAGACAAAGAGAGAAAGGGGCAGAAGTGGAAGGAATAACATGGGAAAGGCCAGAGACCATGACAACAAGGTACTGTAAGGCCTAAAAGAGTGTCAGGATTGGGCTGGGGATATAGCTCAGCGGCACAGCGCCTGCCTGGCAAGCGCAAGGTCATGAGTTCCATTCCTGGTACCGGAAGAAAAAAAAAAAAAGAGTGTCAGGCTTGACTACAGAGATAGACGTAGAGGGTAACAAAAGATAAATCTGAGAAGAAAAGCAGAGGCTAGTTAGTACATGGCCTTGTAAACTGTGTGAAGGAATTTGGACTTTACCCTGAGGAAGATTTGTAGCCAAACAGAATTAAGAAGGAGCAACCAAAAAGTAGGAAGAAAAGCAAAGAAGCACAGCAAATAGCCAAAAAATTTTTAAGAAAATAGAAACCTAAAGTATCAGAAACTATCGAGAAAGGTAAGGAGCTGGGTGTGGTGGTGCACACCTGTAATCCCAGCACTCGGGAGGCTGAGGCAGGAGAATCACCGTGAGTTTGAGGCCAGCCTCGGCTACTTAGTGAGTTGAAAGTCAGCCTGAACTGCATAGTGAGACCCTGTACCCTCACCAAAAAAAAAAAAAAAAAAAAGAGTTTTGGTTGAAAGGTAAGGATGCAAGCCAAAACCACCAAGGTCAAATAAATATAAGAGGAAATGGATAATGGAATCATATCATTCAAAAAGATTAGCTTTCAGGGCTGAGGACATAGTTGTGGTAGCGCATTTGCCTAGGGTATCCCAGGCCCTAGGTTTCATCCTCGGCACTGGGAAAAAAAAAAAAAAGAGGTTAGCTTTTAATTTTCCTAAGCAAGAATAATAGGTGACAGGTGGCAAGCCTAGCCACATAGAAAATCATGTTGAAGTCCTCTTGTGTAGGAGAAGGAATCCAAAGGAACGATATGCCGGGTCTTACAGAGTGACATTTTCAAGCTTGTCACTTATACACTTATGGAGCATATGAATGAAGCTTTTGCATCAGAGGACAAGGTTCAGGCATTGCCTTTTCAAATGGAGGCTTTGCCATTGTGGGAAGCAGCCTCGAAGGCTGTTGCTCAGTTACCCCCCCCCAACATTCACGTCCTTATGAAATTCATTTCTTGGGGTGGGGGTTGGATTTATCAATTGGCTTCTAATGAATATAATATGGTAGAAAGGATGGGATGCTGCTTCCAAGACTGGATTCTAAAAAGTCTATGGATTTCATCTTGAACATTCTCTTAGAATATCTGTGCTGGGGGAAGCTGGCTGTCGTGTGGTAAGGCAGCGGCTTGGAGAAGTCCACGTCACAGGAACTGGAAGCTTTTAACAGCCATGTAAGTGCGGAAGTAGATGCCCCCGGAGTAGAGCATTCACCTGAGCTGACAGCCACGGGCAACGCCTTGATTGCCCCCTCGTCAGAGACCTTACGCCAGCAGGATTCTAAACAATGCGTAGAGTCCTTACCAAGAAAAACTGTAAGATAGTGAGTGTTTACTATTCTTAGCTCCTGCATTTTGGGCAGCAGATAATAATTGCACTAATTTATAGTTAAGAATGGATAAGCTAACACTTTCTAAAAGTTTAGTTCTTTGACCCTAAAGTTTAACGTAAGCTACCACCAATTGTATCCAGACTTTTTTTTTTTTTTTT